AAATCTGATGCAACCTCATCTAAGGTTGACTTGTGTCCAGGATGTGTGTATGTTACTTGTCAAAACTCGAAACTTTTCTATAGATTTATTACTTCTTCTATCCAGTATTGTCACTTCTTCCATCTCATAAATTTGATAACAATTGTCAAACTAACGGAATTAATTGCTGAAAGTGACTAAGGTCAGAGTTAGTCTTGCACCTTAGTAACAATCATTACTAAAGTGCAAGACTAAGGTGACCTTATATGGCCAGCATTTTCGTTCATAACATCGTACAACATAGGAAATGTGTGGGTTGTGTTTTCTCATTGTTCACATCAAACGGAATAGAGGGGGGTTTGATCGGTTCGGTCTACCCTTATCGGTAACCTTTTTGTTACCCTCTATCATGTAACAAGTTAAGGTTATTGTTAATTGGTTGGTTATTTGTAAATCATAATGAAGGTGGAAATGAATAATCCCCGGGTGTGAGGGGAAAACTTTATCTGTCGTCCTAAATGTTTTTGAAAGCCTAGAAAGTCACCTTTCGAAGTGGCACAGAATATTGATGGGTCAAAAGGTCTAACTTCGACCCCAAAAAAAACAAAACTGGAGGAAGAAGAGAAATAATGATAAATAATAAAAATTTTGTTTTCAGTTTAAAACTCAAAAAATAGCCTACATCCTCACACAAATCTGTGCTATATGAAACAAAGGACTAAAACAAAACATGGGGTTAGGTTCCAAAAGTTAACAAAAGCATATTTCTCTTATTAATAAAAAAGAATAGTATGTTTATTAAAGCAAGCAATAATTCATTTACAATCACAATTAAAAGTACTGTACTGTACATTTAACTAAAGTATCGAAATCATCTGAGCTTTTTTGTCAATCTTGATCAGAAATATCAGCAACAACAACATTTTTTTTTATGGATGACAAAAAAAAGTGTTATTAATCGAAAATTTGTTCTAGAGGATCGCATTTGTTTGGTCAAGTGCCAAGCAATTTTTTCCCAGAATTTGTATTCAAATACCAAGATACTGCTGTATCTTAGCCATCATTTTTATGAATGAAGTAATCATCTGTAGGTAAGTAATACCTATGGTTAAAAAAAGTTTAATAAAAATTACCTAAAAAGGTTTGAATAAATTTTACTAAATATGAAGATTAATCTATAAAAGCAAAACTTAGTGACAGTCTAAAAGTCTGAAAGCAATGACGACACCTGGTTGATAATACAATTTTTTTCTTCCTTATCTTAGTTTTCATTAAAGTAAGCCTGATGAAAGGCACATAACAAAATTTTCAATGGGAAAATTTGAGACAACATGCATTTTATTTTATTCAAGTAAGCATATCATATAATGAAATTTACACTTAAAAATTGTGAAATTTTGTATGGGGATTTTCCAAAACAGTGTTAGAGTGAAACCGAAAATCATGTTGTTCTGGGGATTTCCCCAATTTTCCAACCATGTTAGAGTAAAACAGTGTTGTATGGGGATACCTGTATAAATATATAAAATTTTAATCCCTGTAACAACTTGCAAATTTTCTCATGATAACTTGCAATTTATATATAACAAAATTATTCTACACTTTGTAATATTTAAATTCTCAAACAAATTTCATGTTTTACTGTGCATTAAAATTTTTAAAATATCAAATATATAATTTTTGTTAGTCACAGAATAGATGATTTGTAAAATTTTAATTGATAAATATGCCATTAATAGTGAAGAAAGCAAATATGATAATTATAAATACAAATCATAGTTCAAATTATTGATATCCAAGAAGTCATTTCTTTCATTTATACAGGGTCTTCCGAAAAGAGTGCTACCATTTTAAATTACAGTAACTATGTTAATTACTATCTGAGAAGTAAGCAATGTATTACGAATTGATAGCATAACTGTCGGAGCATTTTTATCTCCCATCTGCACTCAAATGTCTTGTTGTCTACTACCTCTAGGAAGTGCCGTAAACCAAAACAGCAACTCCACAACAGGTGTTTCGTGTTCTGTAGTTCACAAGGTTGAAATTAAACATCATTTCCCAACATGAGTAATCTGCAGGAGCTGCAGAATTGAGTTGCTGTGGGGGGATGACAATAGATATGCTGTAGTAAGCAGTAGTAAGTTTGAGTATTGGTTGGATGTGTGCTGTGTGACATGAGGTGCAAACAATGAGAAATTGGAAACTAACAGGCAAATGTGAAACTTTGGGAATGTTTTAATGTACATTGCAACCATTTTAAAATATTGTAATTTTCTTTTCTGGAAGACCCTGTATATAAAGGCTTATTTTCAATGCTATAATTTTAATATATTATTTTGCACTAATGGTAGGTCATTGTCTTACAGTAAAATTTAAATAATCAAGAAATATTTTTGTGGGTAGCCTGAGGTTGGATGAAGTCATACCTCTTTTCGATAGGCAACAGTTTGTTGAGAACTGCCCACTGATCAGTGGATGGCTTGTTTATGTTTTGCTATCCCGGAAAGTCTGGATTCTTTTGTCAGGTCAAGAGGAGGTGAGAGGGGTCGTCGGTAAGATGTTGGCAATATTCAAATTAAAGACACCAATTAACATCAAAACAAGAATTTATTAGACGATACCATAACTAACATAGCTACATTGAACTTATCTCGAGCATGTACACAGAAGTGGAAGTGCACTAAGAGAGAGTTTACATTAATTTCAGTCATACTTCTAGGAGTTTGATTACTGATGTACAGGTACGGGACGGAGTCGGACTTCTGTTTCTTTGGATTCCTATGAAGGACGACATTGAGGGACAGTAATGTCGGACGGCGATCAGCATGGATCCTCTGTGATCACGCACATTGAAGACTGTCTGCAATGCCAGGTTAGAGGATCAGCAGTGATGAAGTTTCTCAATCACGGATGGCAGCAATGGACCCCTTTTTCTCGTCATCACCCTTTTTTATACCTTTCGTCACATTACCGGTTTTCGACAATCGCCGATTTTTAGGATAAGTTCCTCATGATTCATTTTTTAGGTTCCTGAGAGATAGGAAATGGCTCCATGGGAAGGAAATATGTACATCTTTTTTCAAAAAAGGAAAAATGGGGTTGTTCTTTGTTTAATTTTAATAAATATATTTAATTTAATTTTGAGCTTCTTTATTTAATTTTATTTTAGTCAGTACGACCCTCACATTTTAATTATAAATTAAATTTCAAAGTAAGTCAATGACACCTACTTATATTAGTAATCATCAGTTGTATAAAGGTGGATAATTTTTATATTGAAAATTTATTCAATACAATAGTATAATTTTGGAACATTGGAAGAAATTAACTGCTGGTTAATTTGCTGGAGGTTGCATTATTTATTGTGACATTGTCACAATACCAGACTGCAATTTTTAATCATATTTTTAATTTATTTAATTTAAAATGTACTTGCCACTCAAATTAGTAGTGGCTTTCCCCTGTACATCATACTTCTTCCTTTAACAATAGAGTCATGCAGGGCATCTATCTAACTTCTTTCAGAGGAAAATTTTGAATTGAAATAACATGACTTCCAGTACAGTTTGAACCAAAATTTGTATATAGTTAATTGGAGCCTCCTGCCCCTAAGGTTTCCATATTTGGTCTTGTCTTTCATCTACCTAACTCTGTTCTCAAGATTAGGAAAAGACAGACAGATGACAGTGAGAATTTACAGGTCTACATTTTTTCAAATTGCAGTCCAACTAAACAATGCATCCATTAAACAATTTTTGCTTGAATGAACATAAAATACAATATCTAGTTGCATACTTAAATATAAATGAGGAAATCATCCAGAAAATTTAATCCTATCACAGGACAGACAGTATTTCTTTTATTATGCTACTTCAGAGCATAATAAAATGATTACATCTGTCTAGTATTTTATTTTTTTTGCCTGCCTGGCTATTAAAATAAGCTTAGTGAATTATAAAGTAACACTAAAATTTTAATGGTTAATATTGTGAGGCCAGATGATATATTTTGTTGTTATTAATTAAAAATTTCAATTTATTTAGACTAGTGCTTAAATTTCACATATTATATAAAACAAAATTGGAAGAATGTGATCACATTTTTCCCCAGATCTACTTCCTTTCTAAAGGTGACACATCTTCTGAATGTATGTGTCATCAGGAACTATTGTCCTAAATTCATCTATTGGTCTAAATCCTAAACATTACCAAAAAAGGGCATCAAAATCAAGGGGGAATCCCCAAAATAAAAAGATGAACATCGCAACCAACAAGAAGAGTTCACCTATCCATCTCTTTGTGCAGGTGTGTTCCCGTCGTGCTCCATCACCAATCCCTTCATCCACCGTCGTCACCAGACCTTAATTGTCTATTCATACTGTACATACGATCAACAACTCTATCCTATTCAGGAGTGTTATCCAATCCAGCAAAACCTCTTCACCCCTTCAGCAAGACAATCTACAGTGTCAATCAGCTTACCAATCAAGATATTTCACATTGTGCATAATATTATATGCTCTCTCTCTCTGCTAAGAACTTGCTAACTTAAAGACTCAATCATGTTATGCTATTTAGCCTTGTTTGATTTAAGCTGCTCCTTGGAGCTAAGCAGAATTCTCTGTTATCCCATGTATACGTGTAAATAATTTATATAAATAAATAGGTATTTTTCCTTTATAGTGTGCACTTCTTTTGGCTGCATTGTCTCCCAGTCGGTCTCCATCCCTGGACTCGTATTGTTTACGTATGTGACTGCTTGTGCACAATCGGAATAGCAGCCAAAGGTTTCTGTATCAACCTTAAAAAATAGTAGCGTCAGTCCTGACATAGGCATCACCAGTCTGGTGCCAACCCTCTGGTCACAATATATTAAATATTTAAGCAGACTTATGAAGTGATCTTCAGAAAAATTGGTTAATTTTTCAATTATTTAGTTTTGTATTTTGAATTTGTAGATATATTTATATTTAATATACCATGTAAATGATATGTGTTTTTTTTTTTTTTTTTTGATAGATATAGAAAAGGATTCAACTGTTAATAGTAAACAATATCCGAACATATCTGGAAATTTAACTCGGCCGTTGAAGCTCACAGACAAGATAAATGGACAGGGAGATAAATTATTTGAAATGGAATCAAAGCGTTGGGAAATCCTTACTGGTAATAAAACTATGATGGTAGTAATGACACAATTCAAATAATTAAAAACATTGTTATTTAGGTGCACCAGAAGATTTGATCTTTAAATGTGGCAAATTTAATCTCATTCTGAAGTTTGTTAATTATCAAAATTTCTCCAATGTGTTACAAGCATGTTTTTACATGCAGGTACTTAGCAATGAGGCAATTGACGACTATGAAGGTGTTTTAGAATTTCCTGATGTATGTGTGTATGATGAAATTTTAAATAAATCTAATAATTAAGCTAATTTTAATTGTAACAAAATTGACTGATAATTGTAAAGTTTCAATAATCTAATCTTAAAGTGTCAATGGATAATGTAGATCTGTCATCTAAGTCTGGAACCATAGGAGTTATGTTTATTCTTTTACAGGTGAAGTGTGGTGCTGAGTGAGGAGAAACAAATTCAACAACTTATTTTGATGACAGCAACCATGCTCAGCATGAAATTGCCAAAGAATTTAATCCACTAATCACATATGGCATTCTTGATTCAGCCCATTAAATTCTTTGGCAACGTCTCACAGACTGTGATTCCCTACCATCAAAATAAGTTTTGTTTCTCCTCTTTCAGCACCATGCTTTACTTGTAAAAAAGAGTAAACAAAGTTCAATGAATAATACTTATAGGTAGGATGTCCCAATACTACCAATACCATATCAATACTTTCCTTTGATACTTTTGGTCTGATACCGATACTGATATTGTTACTTTACATTGTGGAAAATGTAATGATACAAGATCCAATACTCAAACAGGTAAAGTCTGACAAAACTGGATTTTGCAGCCAAATCGGAAACCAAAATGGAATTTTACACTATTTTTGGTTAAATTAAATTTATATAAATAATAATAATGACCAAAAATTAATACAGTAGAACCTCGATTATCCGCCCTAATTGGGGACTAGGGTTGGTCGGATAACCGAAAAGTATGAAAAAATCCATTATTAGTGTAGTATATTATTATATCCCATGTAATTAGTATATCGCTATTAACCTACTTTGCGTTGAATTTTTATCGATGTTAAGCCTAACAAAAATTTTTTAAAATAATAATCGTCGCTATTGTATCGTTAAAAATTAGAAAATTAAGCTTCGTTTAAATACTGGCTCCCTTTCATGTTCGAATGAGTGTTGCCAGCTAAAACACGTAAAAATAATATTAAAGTAGCCAAGACATAGCCAAATATTGAGCGCCACATCACTAGCGGACATTTGAAATTTGCCGACTAGGATGGTCGGTTGATCGGGGGTCGGATAATCGAGGTTCTACTGTAAATGATTTTGTTAGTTATGGCAATGCAACACTTGGGTGATCTGCCTAGGGGATGTCTTATGGGAGGGCTTTTAAGGGTAACTTATTTAGGTGTTAAAGACGTGAAGTAAACCCAGAAAATTCCACATGCCCATCCTGGTGAGGTGCAAACCTGTGACTGAACTACCAGTGTTCAGAGAACAGAACCGCTTGGCCTTATCAATAAATTTATTACGTCAGATTTCATTTCCAAAATCTATATATGCTTGTTCTGATTACTATTTATAAATAAATATTTAGTTTAACAAACAAAAGTACTGCGTAATGTTTATCAACTTGAACCATTGGCAATGTTTAAAATGAGCTACAGTTTATATATACATATTTGCACTGATATTTGTAAAATTTAAACAACATAAAGGCACTGTTTTACCTCTTCACCAATGATTTCTTATCCACCCCTATCCCACATATAGTAGTATCCATAGAGCCTATTAGCAAGACTAAATCTGGGACTTCTTTTGTGTACATAAAGACATTGTATGAATGTAAACTGAAGTACTGACTGATGCACTGATTTCTGAACCAGATGGCTGAGTAAGTAATTACTCCAGGTAATTGCAGCTATCATTGTAATGATAGTTATTAGTACCTTCTCAGTGATGGCTAGATAGTCAAGCAGTCAAAGTGGCAGCCTACTGCTCTGTGGGACCTAGTATTGAATTTGTTCAGGTCGAAAAATCCCCAGCAATTTTTCAGGTGGTGGTCTGTCCAAATATGTTGGGCCCTGACCCTCACCATCTGCCACCCATTGTGGGCTTGGCCAAACCCATAATAGGCTTGCTAAAAGTGGCCCTCTTAGTGTCCACAGAGGAACAGAGTTAAAAACAAAAAAAAAAAAGTACCTTTCAACATTAAAAACTGGAAGACAATGCCACAAACTGAACAGCAACAGCTAGTAAGATTTCCAGTTTCAATACCCAATGCCGACCAATATTGATACTTTTGTGGTATCAGGACATCCCTACTTATAGGACGCCCTGTATATTAACCACTTAGCACTAAACTTATTTAATCATTATTTTTAAAATAGCCTTTAGGTTAATTTAATAAACTATCTAATTACAATCTCTAGAAATACTCCTTAGCAGTAAATTTATGTTTTATAGAGGGAGACTGAACTAGATCAGAAAAATGACAAAATAGATGACACACACAAATTATGTTGCAGCATGATTATTTTCAATATACAGCAACAGGTAAAATTTTTTAAAAATATCTTAATTTTGTTAAAATTCCTGTATAATTCTTGATTTTTACTTCTAGGTTCTTCTCAAAGGAAGCTTAAAAGTGACTAAGAGAAATGAAGATTATTGCTTTGAAAAAAACATTTGCATTCCATTACCTTTAGCCCAATATATGAGGAAACATTTGTATAAAAAGCATGAAGTGTAAATATCGTTTATTTTATATTAAATTTTTTAAAAATTTCTGCACTTTTTAATTTACTGGTACTAAAAAAATTTATTTAGGATTGAGGGACCTTTTAAGAAGTAGAAGAAATGTTTCAGTAAAAAATAGTACAGTCGACCCCCCTATAAGATAGAGATACGTTCCATTCTTTAGGAATCCGATTTCTTACGAATCCTTCCAATCACAACCCGACACGTGTCAAGTTTACGGACTACGGCTGTTTGAAAGATTTTCTTCCATAAAATTAATCGATTCTAGACTAATCCGACTCAACATTTCCAAAATACGTATATATTTTTTGGGAATAATCCGTATAAACTACGCTATAAACAAAAAATTGTAGGATTACTTACCGAGTGTCACCATTCGACATTGCCATTGCTCAACATTGTTTTCGTCGCGGAACAGCTCAGCAAAGAGCGGCCGATTTCTAACAACTTATTTTTCTGTGAAAACTTCGTAGAACTTCGGAGACATCATTAATATAAATAATTTTAATCGCCGTTGAATAAGAAATGTTTCTTTCACAAGAAATGTATAAAATTACAGTACTGTATTAGACTTACGGTACCTAATTTACATACTGACAGACGATAGTTAGCGTAAAAATCTCCGTAGCGTGGCGCCACGCTAGACGGCGGAAATTATATATTTAATTATAACAAAGTTACAATAAGTTAATATATAATTATATATACAGTACCTAATTTATATATAATTAATATATAATTATATGTACAGTACCTAATTTATATATAATTTATATAATACTGTCCAGACGATAGAAATCTCTCCGTAGCGTGGCGCTACGGACGGCGGGAAAGTAGTTCGGCTGCCCGATGACGTTTGAGATGTTTATAGGGAACTTTTACTATTTTTTACGGATACCGGTAGCAATTTTTTTGTAGTTTTATAGGAATCGTAATTATAGGGGGGTCGACTGTATAAATAAAACATGGCTGATGGTAATTTACATTTAATAAATATACGTTTTTCACAGAGTAAAACCCTTTGTCATCATTCACACCATCAGCAGTCCATTAAAATTTATGAACAGTACGGAGACGATCTTCCTTTTTAGGCTACTGCCTCCACAATAAAATATGCAAAGTATGGTAAAGTGTCCTCTGGTGCCCTTGCCATACTTTGCACTTACTAAATAGAAGAAATATTGTTTGGATCATTTCTTAAAAGAATATGTTTTGGTTTCTGAAGATTTATTGTTCATTAACTAAAAGACCAGTCTTAAAATGCATAGAACTAACTGTAACTAATAATAACAAAAAAATTTTAAGTTACAATCTGATAAATTGATTTTTCCAAAGGTCTTCAATTATGACCACCTACCTAATATCTATAATATCTTTAGATGTGGACATCAGACTGTAGTCTACCATCTCATAATTCCCAGATGTTATGTTGTTGTTCTTAGTTCAAGTTGTCTTAACCACCAGTCCAAATGGTCCCATATATTCAACAAGCAACAAATCAAGAAAGTTTGAGGAGCAGAATAACATTTGAAAGTCGATATTGTTTTTACAAACCATTCTCAGATCACGTGAGCCATGTCACAACAAGCATTATCCTGTTGAAAAATGCCATTACCATTTTCAAAGACAGTAGCCTTAAAGTGTAATATCTGATCTGATAGAATGGTAAGATAACTAATAGCATTCAGAGAGTCTTCTATATGAACTAAGGCCATATAGCTCACAATCCTCCTTATGATAGCTGACCTCCAAATCCAGCACAGCAAGTTCATCTTGCTGTGCTGGATTTGGATATCAGGATGGTCCATTTCAGCAGCTGTGCACCCCCACTCTCCAATGCCCATCAACCTGATGCAACAGAAATCTTGATTTGTCCAAAAACAAAGTTTTCCACTCATCAATGATTTTATTGAGATGTCAAACTGGAGGCACAAGTGCCAATGTCAGGGAATTGACATAATAGTCTTGATGGGTTATGGGTTGCTTAATCACTTACCTAGCAGTGTCTGTTAAATAGTTATATCTGGCATTGGCCATGGATTATCAGCATTAAACTGCAGTATGAAAGATGTAATTGTAAAGAATCTATTGCTCTTGATAAAGCAGGTTAAAATTTCTGCTGGCTTTGAACAATGATGATCCTTGACTGCCCACAATACAATTGCTTGGTGCTAACTTTTGTGTGGCTTTGCCATTATTTGAAAACAGTCATCACTATTAGAGCAGCAGTGTGTGGAACAATACACAGTCATTGGTTATAGAGATGCTTGCACCCTTCCATCTGGCCTTTATAATCATCTCCTACAGAACTCCTCAGATTCTTGCCTTTGTTCATGTTTTGTGTGAAAATAACTGCAGGAATATTCCATCTATCTGCTTATAACTAATACCTGTTAATCATGTCGCTGCTTCGCCCAAAAAGTGCAATTTACTTCATTTGCATAGGTGGTCATAATAAATTGAAACAATGCATATTGGAAATAAATCCTACTGCAGAAAGATAAGCAAAAGCAAGCTTTTCATGCCAGCATAGTTTTGCATCTACTTCTGAATTCTTAATTAAAGCCCTCTTCCCACTTAGGTTGGTAGTTATATGATCTTTTGTGGAGTTTCCTAACTGATCCCTAGTTACACTCAAATACAGATTGAACCTGTTCTTAGAGTGAGTGATTGGGTATACTGATGCGAGGTTAACTGATATATAAAAATTTAAGAAATTAAATTATATTATTTATTCATTTTATTATTTAAAATAATAAATATTTAAAACAAGATGTAACAAATAACATGAAATACACAAAGCAAAATTAAATTTTAGCAAATAAAACAAAATAATAAAAAAGATTATAAAGAATTTTAAATGAAAACCAAAGTACAGTAATTTTAAAATATTCCTAAATAGTAATTGAATAATAATGTAATAGATAAAAATTATGAAAGAATGCTGTAAGAAAAATCAAAAATATTAATAAATATTAGCAAAAAATAAAATAATACAGAACAAAGGTCCTTAAAAATCAGTCCATCCAAAGAATTTAAACTAGACACTAAGCTCGGGTTTCTCAGGACGTACTTCTTGTTCGCTATCAATTGAAAACATCTGGAGACAGTCCATAGAGAATTAAGGAATAATATACCATAAACATATTGAAAAATAAACTGTACCAACCATCAGGTTCTTGAATTTCATATTCTAATCATTTTAATTCAAAATCAATTTACATATTTACTAATAAAAATGACCCAAACATATAACACACACATTTATTATTTGGCATACAAGTACAAATATCTTAATCTCAGTATGTAATGTGATTTCCTCAGATAGAAATGCAACACTTAGTGCCAAGCAAGCCCCAATAGAATATTTTTTCAGGCTGTCTATTCAGATAGCGACGAAAAAAGTTTAAGAAAAAATTATAAATTTGTATAATTACATAAAGTTTTAATCAATTTATATCATATTTAGCACTTAAAAATTACAAAACATTAAAATATCTTTAATGTCAAATTATAACAATAATAATACAGTGCCATTTCACAAAATTGTGTATAGAATGAAACTTGAGAAAAAGCATGACAACTTTAATTACATTCTGTAACCACGTTAATAATTAAGAAAATCACCCTTTTCGATTATCTTAATCATTTGTACTGTCATGGATTGAGAAAGTCTAGTTACAGTTTGATTGGGGATTTTCTCACAGGCAAATTTCATCAGATTGTGCTTGTTTTCATATTCTGTGCCATTTTTTAATGTTTCATGGGCGAGAATGCCCCACAGGTTTTCCATGGAGTTTAAATCAGGACTTCTGGCTGGCCGCTCAAGCAATTTCACTGAACTGGTTTGAAACCATGATTTTGATCAAATAGTCTTCAGAGATAGCAATGGTGCTCTCTTAAGTTTTCAGCTAGGTCTGTGAACTGGTTTTACATTGTATGAAAATAATTGGGATGGTTTCTTTTGCTGCAAAACCACCCCATTTCATCACAGATCCACCTTCAAATTCATCCTTTCAAAAAGGCCTTGTCTTTATGAATGTCATGCCAACAGTAATGGAAACATCTAATCAATCTAAGTTGAATTTATTTTCATCCAAAAACACATCTTTTCACTGCGGTCTAAAAGCAGTGTTTCTTGGCAAATTTTTCTTTCATATGCTGTTTTTTAAGAGAAAGATGTGACTTCTCTGAATTTTGCATACTGAACATTCTTTTGTAAACATTACACACAGTTTGACTAGTGCCAAGATTTCCCTTATAATTTGATAACTTGATAGAGCTTATTTCTAAAAAAGAAACAATGGACAACTGCTCTTTTTTTGTTGAGGGGTAAGTAGTGTTAATGCTGTGATATTTCAAACAAAAATCGATAAATCTTTACAATGTTGATATCAATATTTTAGAAATTTATCAATTATTGATATGTTGAATGAATCTTGGTATCAAGCCCAATATCAATATCAAAATTTTGGTTTAGCAAAGCCCAAGTGATAAGATGGTATATCGGTGCATTTTTGCTGCCCATATTTTCCAGAATTCTTCAGGAATTAGCCACTACAGTCTTAGATCTGTTACTTTTAAAATTTCATGTCCAGTCATTCTGCAATTTCTAAAGCATTTTGCCCTTTCAGTCTCAAAGCTATAAACTTTTTAGCATTTTGAAAATTTAAACATCAAAGACCACTGCATAAAAGTTTGTAAGACACTCAAAGCTCCAAAGAGATAATAGAAGATGCAAATTATTTTTATGACATTAGAAAAAAACATTTGTCTTTAATAGAATACAGCTTGGAAAGAAGTATAATCAAATAGTTATTAAACAACATATCTAAGTAGTTTTAAAATTATTAAAATGAATTCTACCAAAAAATGTTGATTTTCTACTCTAGTTACTGATTTGATTTGAATTTTCTACAGATTGTCATTTATAAAACAAAAAGAAGTTTGGTTCAAAATTACCAAAGAACATGCAAATATTGCAGGGAGGTCGTCAGAGGTTATATCTTTCTGTAGTAACTGACATTATGTTATACAGTTATACCTCTATTATATATGGTCCTAGCTGTCTTGTTTTCAAATCTCAAATTATTTTCTGGAATTACCTTCAGACCTATTTCACCAACAGATGATGATACAAATTACAGAAATAACAACTTACTATTTTAAATCGACTTTGTGTTCCATCATTTTAAGATAAGATATGATTAGTGCATTAATTATTTTCAAGTCATAAATTGAGTCACTGTTAATGCATTCAAGTTTCAAGTCAAATCACCTTGGGAACTTAAAGACTTCCTGGAATTTAAGCCAGTCTACTAAAGTCAACAACACTGGGTCCTAGTACAAACCATAATACTTTCATCTCTCAATTTTGTCTGTTTTTTAATTTATATCAAATGACAACCAGTATCCAACATAAAAGAAAACTAGCACTCTGCTCAAAACACGGATATCCCATCTTTGTGCTGCTAACATGAATCATATCTGGTTTATCTACAGGACAGTATAAGATTTTTGATTAAACATTCCTGCTTTGTTCAGATTTAATTTTGAGTTTAATAAAATATTTGTCTTGTGATATCAACAATTTGCTGCTATTGCACCATCTGAGACAGAAAGCAATATTCCTTAGTACAGCATATCTTGTGCATCTGTTAGAGAAAGAAAGTTACACAAATATCTTCCATGGAGAACAAAACTATTTTTCTATTTTTAGAATATGCAGCTTCCTAACAATCTGTCTGTGTATAAATTTTAAATTATAATTTCAATGTTAATGATTTATCCAGATGACATCTGTACATCATATACTATACTTGTTCAATGTATGTAAATTTATAGATGTCAGCTGCCATTTGTAAGATGTACTGCATCATCATCTGATTCTATTATATGGAGTGGAAAGGTTAGATATATAAGTGGCTCTTGTGATGATGTAATTTTTTTGAAGATTTGTATCTGATACAGAAATATCTTATCCTTACATTATTTGAATTTATAATAATGTATGTATTTGAAGAAAAAAAAAGATGAACAAACATTAGATTAAAAAGAGCTGAAATTTATTTACTCAACAAGCAAATTTCTTGAAATATACCAATTACAATTTTGACAGTAATTATCACATTACTCTTTGTCCAGATAGAAACTGGAAATTTAAAACTTTTGACAACATAATGGACAGATTTTAAAAATCTAAAGTATTTTCATACAAAGGGGGTTGTTTAACAAGTAATATTGTGTTATTTCCGTGAAAATCTATCTCAAATTTATTGTTAACTTCTTATAAACAATATGTACAAAAGTATACAAATAGTATTCCATTAATAAATTATTCATGAATTCTTGTAGTCGATCAAGCTTAGAGATGATATAAATAAAGTATTTTTCAAACTTCTGAAGTTACATCTATGACATTTTTTATGACTATACGAAATTACACAATAATTTTTAAAATTAGTCAATTATAACTAATTAGCTGCAATTATATAAATCTACAATTTTAAATACATGATGATAAAAATCTAATAATTTTTATATACTTACATTTGTATATTATTTACAACAAAAATTATTTTTGTGATTAATGTAAATCACTTGCATTTTATTCAGTTATTATACACAAATGTATGTTGGAAAATGCTAAGTGCAGATTAATGAAACGAAGGACACTCCAATGACATAAAAAGAATTGTGACAAATAAGATACCAAGGAGTGTCGTATCAAAATGCTTGGCAGAGAGCATTTGGAAGAATTACTATCATCAAAATACAACTTGTATAAAGTGCATACATATTTAGTTATATATATATGTATATATTAAAAAAATCCATTAGAAATAATTGTCTATATTTGTGGAGAAATCTGCAGCTATTGCATAGCTCTTAAAATAGAAGAATCTGTATTAGAGAATACAAAAGATCATTATTGGGCTTTTGTACTCCTTAATGTGACTGTCAAAAAAATGTTAGACAATTACCTGTTGGCCTTTGGCAGCATCGGTCGGAATTTAAATTTTGCATCATGTATTTTCAAGATATGGCAATGGTGCAAAAATAGTAAATTACATTTGTAATTTAATTATCTCAAATCACTGTTCAAAGAATGGCAAAATGCTACAATCTGCATTAAAATTGACATAATCTTAAAATTCTATTAAGTAGTTTATGCAAAATGATAGAAATTAACAAATAAATTATAGTTTTGTGATAACTTTGTTAATTCTTATAATTACGATATTTATAATGTTAAAAGTTTTAAACTTAAGTCTCAGGAAGGTGTGGAAGTGTTTCTTCCTCTATTCTTGGACACCACTTAACAACATATACAGTATTATCATCTAATCCAGCTGCTAGCAAGACACCTTGATCGTTCTTGCCATCCAAACCATCTAACCATCTGCAATCTCCCAATGTCATTTGAGAACAATCTGGTGTAGAAGGACTGAAAAAAAATAAAAACAGAAATGCAAAAAGATTTTTAATCTTTCTAAACAATAATTTTCTACTTACCGTGAAGGTGGCAGATGCCACAAGGCTACATTTTCCAATGTCGTCAAATCAAATACTATAAAGTTAGGCACCCCTTTACTTGGCCAGGGTGTCATAATGGCAGCATATTTTTGTCCAACTCCCAGCAATACTTTCACATTACATTTTAAAGAAACTTCTAAATCCATTTTCTTTAAATTCACATCCCACTTACAAAGGTAAGCACTAGCATTTGCATCTTGTTTCATAAAAAATAGGAAATTTCCATCAAAATGCAAACCTGGTGTGAATAAGTTGGCTTCTTTTCCACAAGTTGGAATTGTATATAATGAAGTAACTGTTAATGTTTTTGGTTGATGTGCCTGTAACATCCAGACCATGATGTTGGCTTTGTCCATGCTGAACAAGTGATAAATTTGTTCATCGTTGATTCCTGTTTGATTGAAAGGTCTTAACAATACCTTCAATACCCAGAGAGAATGACCCTGCAACGTTGTAATCATATTTCCTTGCTGCAAAGACCAAATTTTAATCCTTGTATCTGCTGATCCACTAACTACTATATTTAGATCTTTACAGTAATCGAAAGTAAAAACAGCTCCCACATGACGAAAATATTCCATTAGACGTTGTCCTGTTGCTAGATCCCATGATACCAGATGACCCAAATAGGAAGAGACAATGAGAAGCTCCTCATCAAACATGATTGCTGCAACACTGGCATCTGTTCTAAGTGTCAGCAAACATTCATCTTTATGGCAATCCCAAAGCTGAATAGTTTTGCTATCTGAAGCTACAATTAAACATAATTTAATTTAAAGCATTATAATCAATAATTTGTAAAATACTTACCAGTTGCCAGCCTTCCTGCAGAATAATACACAGCTGTCACTCTTCTCAAATGGCGTTCATATATTTTAGAAATAAAACAATTTCCCATCTTCATCTCGGCGATACGATTCATCATTTCTATAAAATAGGATTTCCAATACGAACTGTCCGTGCTGTTGAGATAATTATTGATCACAAGTCCGAGTGATATGCAGGCATGTTGCCAAGTCCTCGTAGAAGAACTTATTAATTGGTTCCACGTTCGACTGACACAGCATGCTTTTAGGAGAGATTTTCCATCTAAATAGCATAAGACATATTCTCTTAATTCTGGAGGCAGTAGTTTTATAAAATCTCTGTAGCGTAGTTGTTCTATATGGTTGCATAAATGCCATAACTGAGAAGCTCCACTAGTAGAAATTAAACAGTCCAGGGTAAGATTACGCTCTTCATCAGAAAGTTGCTGATATTGTATTTTTAATAAATTTAACCACTCTGAAAAATCTAAAATTATTAAAATTAGTTTTGAAATTTAGCAAAAGAGAAAAAGAAATATATTTATTGTAATCACTTACTATCCATGCATGAATTTTGAAATAACTCTACAATAAAGAAATCTATTTCTTTGAAAATAGTCGTTGTTGTCTCAACTGATGAAGCACTTTTCTTTATTCATTACATAGCTATAAATATAAATATTTAAACATAACAATAAAATAATTAAATTCAAAAACTTTTTACAACTCCAATTAATAATAATATTATGATAAGTATTATGATTAATCATTTGTATTTCATTCAACACCATCTTTAAATTTCATATAACTGAATAAGTAATCACCTTTTAAGTATCATGCATTCCCATTTTAATTTTACAGTATGAGAATTTTAGTTGCTCCATAAAATGATTTATATTTTATATTCTTAACTGTTAATGAATACATTTTGATTAGTTATCCACACCACACAGTCTAGTTAATTTAACACAAAAAATTTATCATAATCATTGCATATTTAAACTAATTATCTGTCAATAGTGTTTGAAATATATTTCAATAAACGTGTCATGGAAACTAAAAAATTTTCACCTTAATGCAACTCTAGCAAAATAAGTTTAATAAACAAGAACATTTTTGACCTAATTTGATAGGTCTTCAGTTGTGGAATATGTCGCTTCCAGTTTGTATTCAATAACTGAGTAAGACCTATCAAATTAGGTCAAAAATGTTCTTATTTATTAAACTTATATTGCTAGAGTTGCCTTAAGGTGTAAATTTTTTTAGTTTTTGTGACATTTTCTCCAGTTCTGCAATTATTTAATTCATATATCTCTAAGAATCAGCACACCTGTTGTCTTTAAGTAACTATAAAAAAAACCATGATAAGAAATTCAATCATGATATCTACACAGTATAATAGACCTGTACTTTATAATCATTTACTTTGTTTTCTGTATAAGTGGAATACCATAAAGTTTTTTGTTATGATTATAAAGTGTTGCATTTAAGTGCCCTTTTTCTGTTGACTAGTGAGATATTGTATAACAAACTATCTCTAGGAATACAATCTAAATTTACAACCCTGAACTTAAGAGAAACAACTGACATGCTTTATGATTCTGGAGTAGTTGAGTATTTTTCTGTTGTATCCCTCTATAACAACACTACTTCAGAATACATTGAGTATTTTTATGTCACATTTAATAACAGAATTTATTTAAGCTACCTTTTAGTAGCACCATACAACAGTATTAATGCACTTACTGAAAATATAATCAGCTTCTACTAGTACTAATGTCATATTTTTACAACTTAATCTATATGCAAACAGAAGCCTCTATCATGTCATCAACCTGTTGCTTCAACTTGTAATTCATTATTCAGTAAATCCAATACCATTACATAATAGATATCACTGCTATACCTCTGCCTCTGCTCAATTAGAATTATTAAGTTCGCTGAATGCAGCCATTGGTTGACTTAAGTTTTCTAAGATCTACTATATATGTATATATACATACATACAGAAGACCCTATTTATAGTATATAATATATTTATAAATAAATACAACGGTTGGAAAAAAATTATATAAAATAAAAACACAGAACTGTTAATTTTGGCAATGATTATAAAAAAATTTGAAACTAAAGAACATAAAAACACATTCAAATTCAATCTCATTTAAGAAAAATTTATCTGTATTTTCAAAACTTATTGTTTTAATAAAATTTTTAAAGCTACATTTAACATCACATAATTTAAAGTAATCTATTTTAAAATAAATCAAAAAGATTTAAAATATTTTCAATTTAGTGAAACAAACATAATGGCCTTATATTCATTAAAAAAAATTTTAAATGACTTAATGAATGAATTAAATAAAAAAATCATAGATTGAAAAAATATGATGAACATTCAATAATAAATCAACATATTTTTCATTATTATATGGACTACTGAAAATTTAAAGTGTTTCTGCATAGATGCTAAATGATCACAACAATGACCTTGATCTAATTTTGGAGGCAAACTGTTCCTAACTTTAAACTGTTGAAGGTTAAGAGGGAAAAAAATAATGAAATTAAAAAATTTATATATGTCCATTTGTGCATAAAGCAAGCCTTGTTTCAAAATTATAAATAGAAATGGTTAAGAAGTGGACTTATGAAATGCATTTTAAGCTGTGTTTACAAAAGATAAAACTGTTTGTCATTTAAGTTTTTTATAATTGCAGCTGTTTCTAAACATTATAATGTAGAAATAAATAATATTTTTCAGTTGGATTATTTTCTAACCACTCTATTATATATCAATTTCTAAAAACAAATTTATCTACTTATGAAAAACTATAGGATTATGCCTCTAAATTTATTCCAATTTGAGTTCTTTTAAGTAAAAAAAAATATTCCATATATTTTTAATGTAGAGAAATAGGTTATATGGCTTCAAAATTTCATATTAAAATCTACATTTTCAAACACTAAACAGCCTTTATTAAATAAGTATTATCAACAAGAATATAACTAAAATGCTCTAATATAAAAGTGTGAATTAAAGTTAATTTTTAATTTAAATGTACAGTGCATATTAATCTACTAAATTCCTTTTGTTAAATATCTTCATTTAATAAAGCCAACCACTGCCGTATATCATTGGGCTATATAACACCTGATGGCATACGGCAGTGATTGGCTTTATTATTATAATGTATTGGGTTCTTGTAGAGTTGTTTGTTTATCTTCATTTAGTCTAGAATAAATGCAATATTTTATTTTTATGTATAAGCTAGTAGCTAGATTATTTCACATGTGTTTATTTTATTATTCAAGGTTTGTAAAGATACTCATTTTCAATTTAAATCATATATCAAAAATTTCAGAAAAAAGTACAACTCAACATACTGAGATTTAAATAAGTACATTTTCAGATTAATGTATATCCGAAAATACAATATAGATGTCTCTAAAATTTCGAAAACTTGCAATTTTATAATCTTCTTAAACATTAAATGCAAATATTAGCTTTTTTCATCATAAATTTTGCTTGACCTAAATAAAATATTAAATACATTTAGAAAAAACCTGAATAAAGAAAGCCAGATTTTCAGTTTTGTAAATATTTGACCTGAATTTTTTTTTTGAGATTTTTCTGAAACAATCTGTCCAAAAATTAGTATTTCAATAACAATCATTCTACGTTTTATTCCTTCATTTATTTTCTTATCTACTTAAATTTATTAGAATTTTTGTACAGGAAATTTTATTTAGATCCATATAATTTTATTTAACAGAATTATAGTTTAAAAAGTTATTAATTTCAACACATACACAAAAATGCAAATTATAATGTACAAAATGAATTAAAGACTAAAAAAATTGGTAGAAAATAAGCTTTAATCCTATAAAATATTCTAAATACAGTAGAACCCCTCTAGTCCGCCCTCGGCTAGTCCATCACTCTGGTTAATCCGACCGTGGTCGGAGTTGAGAAACTTGTCCCGACTCGTCAGTGACTCACCGTCCGTTGCGTTCTTCTGTGTTCGTTACAGTTATGTTTTACATTGTGTGTACGTGTACAGTTTTGTGTGTGCTTTCAACATGTCAGGAGTGAAATGTAAACACGTTACTCTCATTAAATGAAAAATTAGCAGTGCTACAAAGACTGGACAAAGGGAAGATTGTTTATTTCACTTTTTTATGATAGTCCGATCTTTTTTGTGTTCTAACCATACCTCCAGTCCCAAAGGTGACGGATTAGAGGGGTTCTACTGTATTCACAATTCATGTATGTATAAATTAAAAGCTACACCAAAAAACTGGGTGAGATTACTATAAAAATACTCAAAAAAAAAAACAAATAATCCAACAAGTAGAAATAAATTTATTAGAAGAACAGATGTTTTCAACCATGTTTAAGAGTCATCATCAGATTTATAGAATTATACATAGAACAAAATTTAAATACAGTAGAACCTCTATTATCCGGATTTTCGATTATCCGGATTGTTCAAAATAAACAAAAATTTTACGAATTTGCTGATTTGCACTTGGCGAATTACGATACTNAAATAAGTAATAATAATCAAAATAATTTTGTTTATTTCAGATCAATAATTAAAATTATTTTTCATTGCATTTAAGTGATTAAAAAACTTGGCTGACATAAATATCAAAAGACAGGAAGATAATTTTACCTTAGAGATCTTAGAGAACACCTTAAAAAACAGATCTCTTGCATTGCAGGGAATCTTAAAAAATGTGATGAATGCAAGTCTTTTGTGGCAAATTAAAAATTTTAAATCTGCACCAACCATTGTATTTTAATTTAATTTCAATAAAAGACTTAATGGATTGTAAAACAGATCACAATACTTACTTCAATTACTTTTCTATTAATAGGTGACTTCCTCATCCAAATGTAATACAAGATCACGTATAAAGTGAAGTAAGTGTATAATGATTTTGAAGTTTTGTCATAATCATTACTTTCTATAAGAATAAAATCCAATTCATATTTAATACTGAACAGCTATTATCCATTCAGCAATAAATTTAATAAAAAGAAAATATAATTACTTAATGACTTTTGTTTATTTGTCTTCTTTCAAAAGATTTCTGCTGATGCAATCATCATTAGTGTAGAAAATAAGCAATAATATATAATATTTTCACTGAAGAAAATGTTTCTAATAATATTTTGCTTTGTAAGATTTCTTTATTATTACATCAGCACATATCTGAAAGTATGAATAAATTATCCATGTTTTATGAATAAATTCTGCTTATATCTACTATAATTCATATTGCATATTATAATTTTATACAGTGGGTGATCAGTTAACGAACATAATCCATTTCAAGACTTTGTTAGCTATCCGAATTGTTCGTTAACCGATTATCAATTTACCATAGGTTTATTAAAGATACTTTTTATATAATTAATTATTATAAAATGGCAAAATGCTTAATTTTGAGAGTAGGGACAAGTTTTATAAAAAAAACTTTAAATAAATGGTAATAAAGAATAAAATCATTAAGTCTGACTCTACTCCAGATATGACACACCCTTTATATCCCCACCCCTTCGACCTTTAGTCATCAAAATTTAATAGCATCAATCTCCTAATATATAAACCTCCCTGAAAAATTTCAGAAAGTTTTGACAAAAAGCACAGGAGTTATTAAGCTTCAAAGAGGGTAAACAAAACTGTGTCACACATACACAAACATTCATACATACAGAAAAAAAATCCCCAAATATTTTTGCATTTATCAATGTTTCAAGGTCCCAAGTCCAAGTATGTAAAAATCTTGGGGGGTTATTTTTTAATTGACTGCTATACTTTTCCTCTATTATATATAACACAGCCAGAAAAGTAACAAGGAGTAAATAGTGTACATATAAATAAATAAGTAATACAAATACAAAAACAGAAAGATAAATTAAAAAATAAAGAAAATAGGACTAAAAACAAAAAAAACGAGATTATGAGTTACAAATAATCATAAATAGCTTTCTATGCATGTGATACCAAAGTTATATCCTTAAAATTGATGGCAATGCCTTTCTTAGTTGCCTTATAAATTTCAAGGTTTTCAAGATATTTGAGTTGTGAAGGAACAGTTGCACTATGTATCAGATGCCACTTGGACATCATTGTCATATGCAAAAGCTGCAAGTGCAGTTGTGCACAAACCCTTCTAACAGTGTATTTATGCTTCTTGATTTAAAGTTCAATGGTATATATAGTGTGATCCAAAAGGAGTTCACAGAGATATATTTTAAGATTACTTTAAGAATGATTCATTAATTCTGTTACTTCACTGGAAGTAGTTTAATTATACATAACAGCATACAAGTGTTCCAAAACAGTTGTGTGCTGTTATGTATAATTAAACTTAATTTTGGAATAACGAAACTTGTCATTGACCATTTTTAAAATACAGTAATCTTTAAAATATGTTTCAGTTATCTGACTTTTCAGCAATCCTGTATAATTGAGAAATTATTAAAATGTGAATTACAATATGAAAATTTCCTTATACAGTATATTCACAATCATCAAGCCCATGATTATCTGGCCTGATCAGCCATGTCAATTTTTTTTTATATGAACAAAACATACAAAATACTTATATTTTTATAATTATTTTGTACTTTTTATTACAATACAGTATTATTAAATAATAATATTAATAATGTGTTGTATAAACATCTACATAAAACACAGTTATTACATGGATAATGTATCATGTATAATGTATCATTATGGATAATGTACAATGGATAAAGTATCATGGTAATTGCAGGTATTTTACTGGCTTACTTTTGCTGAAATTTTATATTAAAACATTATCTCATGACCATAAAAATTACAGCTGTCAAATAAACCACATATGGAATGCACCGACATGCTTGACTATACAGGAAATGCCTTATCTTCAATTTCATGTTATCTGCTTTCTCCTTATCTGACTTAGCTGTCCATTCACCACATTAAGCCAGATGCAAGTCTAC